TTCTATGAAATAAACATATATCTACATCAATCTTTTAAGCAATCATTTTCCTAATGTTTTTCACCCCTGCATGCGATCTTTCGTTCGAACATAACTTCTAATTTCGATTCCGAGCGATCGAATTCCCTTTGTAAGGCGCAAAATCGCGTCACGTGCCTTCGCTGCGACGAGAAGAAAAGCTCTTTCGCTCTCTGTAAAAAAAAAAAAAAAAAAAAAAAAGAGAGAGATCTGCTGAAAGACGAAGCTCTCTGCTTCTCTCCCACGGCGCCGATATAACGTCTGTCGACCTGCCGCCACCCTGGCAGCAATAACATAATGGCGCAGGAAGAGAATGCGTTTGACTCGCGATCCAACACGCCTCAGGAATCTGGGGAGCCCCGCGCGACCAAACATCCCCAGTATGTATCCCGCGCGGAAAGCATAAACCGCTCGACGCGGCGTTGTTTATCGCCCGCAGTTTGCGCCGGGTTTACGCGTGCCCCGCTCGATTCTCTCGTCTCCCCAGATGCGAGAAAAAGAAAGGGGGAACGTCGAAGCCGCGCGCGCGGGCGATGTTGGAGAACTCTGGTAGTTTTCAATCTCTCGTCTCGTAGCTAAAATGAGACATATTGATCTTAATCTTTAACCAAAAGTAATCATATTTTCCCTATTATTAGAAAATTACGCTGTCATTCTTTGTATTAGCAAACATTCGATACATAAAGTATTTAGCAACCATTGACACTTAAAATATATATTTCTTTAATTTAAAATTTTAATTCAAGATTTAATTATAAAAATGTACGGATAAAATATTTTATATACATATATATTTATCGGTATTTGTACTTTTTTTTTATCTAAATGAAAAAAAAAAGGACAAACTTTGAATTTTGGTAAAATTTATAATTGCAAAAATTTATAACCGATTTTATAATAGTTTATATTACCATAACAAAATAGTTAAAATACTAAAGACTAGAGTGCATGATCGAACATGCTACAATTTTCTGTAAGTCATACGCTATGCGAGCATATTATAAGAATCAAAATCCAGCTGATTTGTAGCTGTGATACATCATATAAACGATGCAACGAATAAAAACAATTCGAATACATCGATTTAGCCAAAGCATCGCGTCGCGAAACACAATCTGACCGTTTAAATAATAACTCAACATTGTAGTTTATATTTCTACGTTTACGTTTTACAAGTTTTAAGCGGCGCATAACCATCTCGGACGAAGTGCATCTTCAAACGTAACTCCGCGATGATCAACAAACCTCACTCGCGGATCTGAAATCATAGAGCGAGACTTTCTTCTCGCCGTTGTTACAAGGCGAACGGCATAATCACGTAATAGGAACGTGCTACCCTGTTATTTTATATTTGAGACTGTATAAAATCCTGCTCGCATCCCTATAATGATGCATTTCTCGATTTACAATTTATATACAATTTATGTACAATAAATCTTCCATTTCTATCGAAATTTTTTACATGAAATAAACAATCATGAATTTTAACAATCATAATCTTTTTTTGTCGAAAAGTTCCATTATTTATCTCCATCGAATTTTTCGATAGTCGAAAATTAAATATTCACAATATATTATGAATAATAGAAATTATCGTATCCATAAAATCTGAAAATTATCCTTTACCTAAATGAATCGTAAAATGGCGTATCTCGCGAGGATTCGAGTTCGTCAAATCTCTCCCGTCGTTATTTCACCCGTTCGTCGCGGTGAACGCGCGACGTTGATTTAGATGGCTGCGATTTCCGAGTCGGCTACTTGTTGTCGGTGGCTGAGAGGCGCGATTGGTGCGTGCTACACGGAAGGCAACACGGAGTCGATTGTCTTGCGATATTCTTCGTCTGCGTTTCTCCGTCCGGCAGATCCTTTTCGTCCTACCTTTCCTACCTTTCCACGAGTCCCGGGCTGCGGCAGAAAGTCCGCGCTACTAATGACACGAAGAGGAATGCTGTCCGGCAGCGCGCGCGACCACGTCAGTAGCCATTTGTAATGCCCCGGGGAAAAAGTCAAATCAAAGTGTGATGACGTGGGGTGAGCGCGTCGGGCTACCTGCAATTAGCGACACACGCTGGTAGCCATAATTAAAATTGCACGCGCGGCTTCCTCTTTGCACCTCGCCGCGCGAGGAAAGCCACAAAGGCGCGCTCCCCTTCGCACCTCCACGCATTGCCAGGCTTCTTTGTTTCGACAGTTATCCTTGAGATGATGATGGCGCTTTTTACCCCAAGTGAAGCAAAATAGAAGCGGGAAAAGTCAGCGTTAAGCGCTATAAAGATATTTTGCTGTAATAATTATTTGATTTTTTAATTATTTAAATCTCTCTCTCTCTCTCTTTCTCTCAAAGGATTTAATAAATAGAGACATTTAGCGTGTATTTGATACATTAATGAATTATTAATTTTATAATGCGTTTTACACTAATAATACAAATTAACAGCATAAAATACTTGATTTGAGACGTACATTAACATTATAATACGTGCATATCTGTAATACGTACATTATAATACATTTCTGTAATACACACAGAAAAATACATACTATATACAAGTAAATATTACTTGTTTCAAATATTTCAAAAGTTCGTATATCCGCAAATCTATCATAAGTTCATCATAAGCATCAAATTTATTCGAAATGTATTCTGAATCCTAGTAAATTTAATACTTCAATCAAGATTATTAAATTATATAATTGAAAGAAATACACTAAATTTTTCTGATCTAATAAATTTTCTTACATTAAATTAACCATATCTGACTTTTCTTCGATAAAATTTTATAATATTCTTCAAAAGAAAATATTTACTTTTTTTGGAGTACATGATAATGAGGTTTCCTAAAATTTGTGACAAGTCTATTTTAAGACTATTATTAAGAAAATATTCTTTGTTAAAGATAACTGTTACTTAAAAGAAGAAAGTAAACCGAGTAATCATTTTTCTTAGCAATAGAATAATATTTTTCTGTGTGTAGATCCATATTCAGAGAAATAAAATTTTTCGGATAAAGATTGCAAAAGTGCAATTACAAGTTAAATTATATTCTTGTTTATATTAAATTTTGCGATTCACTATGAGATTATTTTGAATCATCTAAAAAGATTCCACCTTTCAAGGATGTAAAATGTAAGGAAAGCTCGTTTGAAACACGATTACTCATCCAACATCGATTGAAAGTATTTTGCAAAAGTCCGACATTCTCATATCGTAAATGACTTGAGGTGTTATATCGCGAGTTATATCGATGCCGGGCAAGCTGCTCGGGGTCCCTCGAACAAGAAACGTGACAATCCGTCGCGCCTCCGCCCGGTGGACGATGACAAAGTCGATTGGTGAGGCCGGCGGAGTTAATGTGTGCCGCCGCGGCGAGATGAGCGGACTGTTTTAATTAGAGAATCTAATTGATGGCCGCGGCAGCCGAGCAATCCATAAACGACTTCTTAGGGCCGCGCACCTGGGTGTTAATTACTCTCCTTCTGTGCCGAGGTCCTTCCATCTCCCGGCTTTTTTCCCTCGCTGGCTCCTTCTCCTTTTTCGACCACTCGACTACCGAAGAACCGCGTGAGAGCAGGACGGGGAGAAAGAGAGAGATTTACAATGAGAAGGGAAGGGGAAAAAGAGAAACCATCAGGAGAGAACGAGAAGTAGCGAGTAACGATTGCGAGATGAAGGAAGATGGAAGGGTGAAATGAAGAAAAAGAGAGAGAGAGAGAGAGAGACAGAAGCGAGAGAAAATGAGGGAGCGGGAGAGGAGCGGAGCGAGCAACAAGTGTCCCCCGTCGCGAGGCGCAAAAGCATTCCTAATTACGCTTCTGCCCTGCTCGGAGCGAAACGAGACAAAAAGCGCCTTGATTACATTTTCGTATAATTTCATCGGCCGGCTCTCTCGCCATTAATAGCCGCCGCTTCGCCCCGCGCCGCGCCGCGCGCGCGCAAATTAGATCGATTCCTTAATGCCCCGGGGCCGCGTAATTGGTTCTTATTCTCGGAAGCTGACGGTGAAATCGGATATCTGTCGTGTAGCGCAGAGCCCTGTGGACCGACCGACCGGTCAACGTAATTGCTTTTCGGACTGTTTGGCGTTTCGCGGTTCTCTTCGTGGACGAGAACGCGGGGCGGGGAGATCGTTAATGTCGCGATACGCACCTTTGATAATGAAGCGAAAAATATTCAACGGACGCAATGCGAAACGTCTCCCGGTCGCACGGAGACTTAATGAAATGTAAGATCACACGAGTTTTTATTCTCGCGTATTAACGTGTCGAAACTTTGCGTCGTCGAAAGAAACGAACGGTCGAACGATGGATGCCCTCCCGCCAATGATGTATGTAATTTCTAAAAGCGAGAGAAAGAAATGAGAGAAGAAACCCAGTAGCACGTAATTTGCGCAAACTCTCGAAATGTCGTGCGATTTCGAGGGGAAAAATTGATTCACGACCGAAGAATATATGTATCGTTAATACCATAATATGCGGTTGTAATGAAGCGAGAAATACATTTTCGGCGGCCCACCCGGTGGGACGTTAATGGAATGTGCCGGAGCTTCGCGAATTTTATTCCCGCAAATTGATGTACTTTGTACGGCGCGATGATTTTAACGATCGAATGATTTCGTCCGCAAGATTGCATAAAATTCTAAGAAAATCAATTTTCATTGAGGCATTATACCCCGAGTACACACCATATTTGTTTCTTGAAATATGACATTACATATACATAAATATAATTTTATATATATTTACGTAAGGTTACACAAACCCCATAAAATTTTATAAAACTAAAGATTTATTGTAGAAAATAATTTTAGCTTATAAGTTTTAGAAAGAGCGCAATCATGCATATAAAAATTAATTTTTATTAATAAAATAATAATAAATAATTTAGCATTATTCATACAGTATTGCGTAATCGATAAAATAAATTTGCACTATAATTTTATTCATCATTTAAGAAGACTCAAAAATGTAATATATTTTTGCAGTGGTACAGAGTGGACAAAAGCAAGATCAGAGAAGATTTGCTGGATCTGTGGGTCCCACTCGGCACCGGTCCCAATGCCGACCAGCCCGACAAAGCCGCCGAAATTTTCCTCGTGAGATCCGCGGAGAGATCCGACTCGTTGCCTTTACAAGCTTGGCACTCGTTAGCCCGGTCGGCGTTATCCTGGTTCATCAGTCGAACGTCCATAAACGGGTAAGTGCTCATTATCTACATCGTCTCGTATTGATTTTTCCGCGAGATATCTCGGACGTGCGAATCTTGTTGAATTAGATCTTACTTTTTCTGCAAATTCCATATCATGGAAGATAATTGCATTTGTTGCTGCAGAAATATCACTTGTATTTATTGTATTTTTCTCGTGCGTTTTTATTAATAATTAAAATAAGCACGAGAATTATTTTTAAACAGTTAATAACAAAGTTACGCTTATTTGTATTGTTCAATACAATTCTGATATTTCTCGATGCTGATAATAATTAAAATTTTATTTATAGATGTAATATAAGATATTAATTTTTTAGGATAAGATAAGATATAAAAGGAAAACGATATTTATCTTGTTTAATTTTTCGAGTAGCAAAATATTATAACACTCAAGTGTGTGCTCATAACTACACTGAGAAGAAAAAGTTGTTAACTTGATTAAATCCATTCAACTAGTTACCATTTTTTAAATTGAAATATTTAAGTATTTAAGTCAAATACGACATATTAAACATCTAACATGATATGTATATTTGACTTAAATACTTAAATATTTCAATTTAAAAAATGGTAAGTAGTTGAACAGATTTAGTCAAGTTAATAACTTTTTTTTCTCAGTGTAATATTTTTCATTGCTCACACATTTCGTATAGACTAAAAAATAATTGCATATCGCGTCTCGTTTGATACTCGAAAATCTCCGTGATTTGCTTAACAACACGTACAATGCGTAATTTTGATGAACCCCACTCACATTCATAACGATCTGTCCCTTTGGACACATTAATTGAAATATTTTTATATTTAAGTCAAATACGATATATTAAATCTAACATGACGTATATTTGACTTAAATACTTAAATATTTCAATTTAAAAAATGGTAAGTAGTTGAACAGATTTAGTCAAGTTAATAACTTTTTTTTCTCAGTGTAATATTTTTCATTGCTCACACATTTCGTATAGACTAAAAAATAATTGCATATCGCGTCTCGTTTGATACTCGAAAATCTCCGTGATTTGCTTAACAACACGTACAATGCGTAATTTTGATGAACCCCACTCACATTCATAACGATCTGTCCCTTTGGACACGAGATCGGATTTATCAAGCCAAAAGTCCCCGAGTTGCATCTGTATGCGCTATCTATATGCTAGGGCAAGGCCGAAAGCCCTCTCTCGCTGAAGGCGAGATCGTTTGCGAGGTGATGAAAGGGGGCCTTCCCTTCTCGCCGGTTAATTAATAACCACGGAGATACGATCTCCGCCTATCTCGCTGTCCGCTGCGAGGCTCGACAAGCTGGTGGCAAAGGCCCTGGCATGGCTGCGGGTCGGTCAGGCTGGCGTGGTGGGCCGTTGGAGCCTCGGTGTTGGAAAGAAGGGAGTAAGACGAAGCATATATGAACGAGAGAAAATGAGAGAAAGAGAGAGAGAGAGAGAGATAGGCAGCGCCGTAGTTATTGATGGCCAGCTTTGTTTGCCCCCCGAACCGTTTATTAAAATCCAGCGTGGGTGATTAACCTCTCCCCCTCAGCTGCGTCGTCCTACCGGCTACCAGGCAACACCTCCACACTTTGCCGCGTACGTTATACGCGCGGGATCGGCGTGTACCGAACAACCGTTTATTAAAATTTCTCTCGACACGGGAGGCTAGCCACGGCTACTAGGCGTGACACCTTAGCTGTCGGTTTTGTGAGTCGGATTGCTGAACAAGAGTGCGGAAGATCGACAATCATGCCTAAGAAGTTGCCCTTTGGCCGGCGGATATTTGAGAATGTGTGTATGTGTGAATTTAAAATTAGCTTGCAGTTGACAGATTATTATATTTTTGAAAAGTGTTAGAGGATTGAATCTGATATTTTTTGCAAACTTTTTTTGACGGCTTCATAATATTTGTTTCTTTTTAAACTTAATATTTTTGTTCTTCTTTCATCGATGGCATTTCTGATTTAGCTTACATGATTTTGTGAAAAAGTAAATCGCTCTTTTCGATAATATAATTAACAAAATAAATAGCAGGATAGAAGAATATTTCGAAAATATATGAATTTAATATCGGTTAAATAAAACAAGTAAACAAAGCACAAGAATATAGAATATTTATAACGATTACAGAGAATATAAAAATTATATTGGTCTTTTTACATGTAGAAACAAAATTGAAAATAATTTCTAATCATATAACGATAGCATTGTCTTTAAATGGAAAATTTTCAATATATATATATATATTACATTAATTTATAAATTAATCATAAATAAAAGAGAAAGCTAAGAAATTTAAAGTACAATACAAGAGAGAGGAAAAATTTCTTTAATTTAAGAATCGATTATAGAAAGGATATCATTATCTCTCTCTGTCGAAACCCTGTAACAAATATATATAAAAGGGCATAGTATATATATATATATACATAATTTATGAGAGAAATATCTCTCTACGATCGAGACATGTGGAGTATCGCGTAAACTACGCGACACGAATTTAAATCCAATCGTTGGCATCGTGCCGGAGAAACGTGAGATAATCTACGTTCGTTCGCCAGTCTAACGGAGAATGATCCATAGTCGCGAGAAATAAGCTTTTTTTTTTTGTTTTGTGTTTATTGAATCGTCAGCACTATGAGACGGAAAGCGATCTTACCGAATCCAATGCAATTCCGGGATGAGTTTAACTGATTGTGAGCATCGTTCCCGCGGTCGGCACATCGAGGAACTTTAGTCACGGTGGGACCAGCTGATCGAAAACTCGACAATTTTACTACTGGCAATCATACTTAGGTATTTGTCTTCGTCATCGCTGAGACGCACGTAATTAACCCTTTCGCCACGCCATTGTGGACCCTCTTTTCCTTCCCTCCCTCTTGCCCTTTAGACGCGAATTGATTGGTGTAATATAATCACCGATATACTATATTGCGAGTCGATAATATCAGTCACGTGTATTCGTTCAAAGTGGGAGCTCATCCTCAATTTGATTATATAAATAAAATAAATATATATAAAGTATTGATTTTTTCTCAAAAGCTATTATCCGAGTTTTAGAATTTTAATATAAGATGATAGAGCTTCGACTCTTTCAGAGAAAATCATAGAGTTTCTAATACATTTTTATCAGATATATCGAAATTCTAAAAATAGAATGCTAGTTTCATATAAATATAAAATTGCATCTGTTGCAGAAAATTTTACGTATAATGAGATAAAAGTGTAAAGATATAATCCACCAGTAGTAAACAAACTCATATATTTTAAATAATAATGAATATATAATATACATACTAAAGTGTTTCCATAACTTTATTATATTATCTGTTATTAAGAAAAATATGATGTTCTTTTTATGAATATACACCTTGAAGTTTTAATTAGCGTTTCGCAGAATTATTTTCGATAATTACATTCTGATTATAAGCGCAGTATAATTTCACGAAATCGGCGATTATTGCTTGGAAGAATTTCCTTGTCAGAAGTTTATAAATGGTTTTCCAATCCCATGCAGCGACAATTGACCTCGGATTACAAAATAATTACCGATAATTATTCGTAATTACATTAAACCTATAATTACGGTCACATGCGATTTGAAAAATGATAAAATCATCATGGTCTCATGACATCAGCACAATTTAATTCGTATTAAACAGTAATTAACAGTAATAAAGTTATTACGCAGTTATATCGAGCGTGCAATTATGGTATATTGCAAAACTTTAAAATATCGAATTAAAATTATGAAGGCTGTATTGCCGTTTAATTTTGTACATTTATTTAAATGTTAATATATATTTCCACAATATTCTTAATATATATCTAATCTAATCAAAATTATTTTTTCAGTATCAAATTCTCAGGATATTACATTCTTTTATAAATTTAACGCTATTGTCTAACAATGCACGCATTAAAGAAAGTAGCTGACCAATCATGAATAATGATCGCGCAATTATATTGAATTCAATCAGAACTAGCGACTTTAATTGACAGACCACTTATATAGTCTCCTTTTTCTTTCCTTATTCAGATTCTAATTTATGTGAATACATAAAATATTGGTAAAAATAATCCGAGTATTGTGCAAGATTAATTAAGGATCTAGAATATCTATAGAATCAAAGATTTGTAATTTTTAAGATTGTAATATAGAATTAATGGAATTCAAGATTCAAATAATCAAAAATGTCTAAAATAAATTTATTTACAAGTTCATTTGGGAATCAAATACATTATATACTTTTATCTATTCTGAGCAATCTTAATCTTTTATAATCTTACGGATGCGCTTTCTCTCTAATAATACACGCATTAAAGCGAGATCGTTGTCGAGAGATTATATCGCATGTCTATTAATTCATTTCGAGGAAATGATCTCACCTGAATATACGCGTTACCTTTTATAAGTACACATATATCGTTCACATGAATAAAACATTCGTAAAATAAACTCATTGCTCAAAATTAATTCAAGAGATTAATTTGAAATGCAGCGATAATCTACTGAATCAAGAAACCGTGAAATTATAGAATCGAAAACTGTACTTTGATTTGCAACGTATCCGATAAAAGTTTTGCTTTTATAGATTTTTCAAAAAATTTCTTGTTCCTCAATCTACAGAGATCCATGAATCTGCAGAACAAAGGAATTAAATACATATACTAATGCGCGTGATTTTCATTCGAAACGTAACCGAGCGCTTTCGCTCGCGTCTAATAACGCGCGCATTAATGACGCGCGGGATAACCAGTCGTGAATAATCATCGTGCAATTATATCGAACGCGTAATTACGCGTACCGAAAGAGGCTCACCGGACTCGGAACGGGGAAATCATCGACGGAGTCACCTGGGTGACGTTCACGTGACGTTGCAACGCTGTCCTGCTGAGAATATTAATTACGTCCTCTCCCCTCTTTCCCCAGCCCTTTCCCTTCTGTATCCTGATCCCCTGCGCCCCCGGTAGCTCCCGGGTTCGAGGTCCTCGCACGCTCGT